TCCCAAATCCTGAACAAATTAAATGCTACACTGATCCGAGGTTTATTATATTTGACAGTCCAATTCATAACCCTTTTAATGAATACCTTTTGAAAAAAGGTTTTAAAGTACAGGATATACATTTCCTTTTTTCAAAAAGTATTCCTTTCACATTTTTTGCTTTTTTGTCTCTTGAAGTGCCCATGTGGAGTACGCGTCTTAGCCATCCGAAAGTAACGAGCCCCCGAAAATAGCGAGCCTCCGAAACTAGCGATAGCCGGCGGACGGGTGCAAAATCCGAAAGTAACGAGGGTCGTTACTTTCGGAACTCTACGGTAGGTCATCTTATGATTTTGAGTGTAACTGATTTGGGATAAATCAGGACAAGACTCTTTTCTCAATAAAAATTGAAACGAAGACTTCTGTTCAAATTAATTCATCGCGCGTTTCCAGGAGGAAGCCATTCAGTGAGAGTTTCGTCTGGCCTTTCAGTGAAAACTAAAAACAATAGGCCACTTGCACTAAGAGGTCACGTGACGAATGCTTCCTTTAAACAATGAGTTGGAATCTTGCTGATGCCAAAAATTGACAGAGCTCATAAAATAATCCTACCCCCGAAATTTGAAAGGAAACTCATTTAAGGGAGATATTTTATGGCACTTTGATTTTTCAACAAAGTAGTATGCATGATTGGGTATTGGGCGCCACTCCAACATGGCGGCCAAAACTACTTTTTGCTTATATCTTGTTAAACGTGTGATAATTACGCTCAGATGTGCTGTAAACGGTACCCCATCATCTCTTCAACATTTTCCTTGAAGTTTAAGTGCAAAATTTGTGTTCCGAAAGACGTAATTCATAATTTTAAAAATCACATTTTGGTCACGTGACCAGCTACAAACTTACTCATTTTAAGAAAATGGTGCGGGTTTGAAAAACCAAATAACTTTTATTTTGTTTAAGATATGACCCCTTAATCGTTTTTCGAAGGGAAAATCATATAACTTTCTCATTCATAAAAACGATGTCACATGACCTCTTAGTGCAAATGGCCTATTTACACTCGTTTAATATATATTCATTAATGTATAGGTTTTACCATACTAAATAGTTCTTAAATAAATAGAACTGAATTGAACCGCGCTCGCTCACAGATTTTCGAGCAAAAGAGAAAGAGCATGCAGCAGTCTGTCTTGAGCTTTGATAAACATGATGAATTATTTAATTCCGTTTTCTAAGAATAGCGATCCCGCCTGGCCCAAACTATTGCCGCCTAAAGCATTTGCATAAATTACAAGATTAGCCATCATTCGAGCCGTGGTCAGTCTCTGGCAGCCGGATTTAGACCTTTCAAGGTACCGTAAAAGATGTAGACACTGACAGTATCTATGTTTTAGGAGAGTTAAGTAATGAAGTGTATGTGCAAATTTCCTGCTTGACTGATTTAAACGCGTCTAGTCCGCCAAGATCCTGTTTCTAAAGGAATTGGGCGTTTGCATTTCAGATATCTGTGACTTCATATTGCCGGAGCTAATCGTTAGCCCTCATTAAGTCAGACTGAAAGTGATGCGCAGTTCAAATTGTGCGAAAGGATCCCAGGACCGTCTTGCATGCAATTATTGCATTTGCACTTCAAAATCATGCGATCATAAGTGGCTTTTTAAAATTTGCTACAAGCATTCAGCCATCTTGGCCAACTTGACCTGGTTACGAGTTACTCCTCATATGAAATAATTTAGAAGGAATTGTTCGTTGTGTAAAGATCAAAGAAGTCAGAGAGACCACGCAAAATGACGAAACGAAGAGTCTGTTAGGATCGAGGAGTCGCACGTCTTATGCAACAGAGTACTTCTGGCCAGAGGCGGTGGAGTGTTTTGAAACGTGAAGGGGGCGGGGGGGGGGGGGGGGGGGGGGGCC